ATATTGCCTCGTTTTCCCGCACAACAGAACATCACAATGTCCACCTATATAACCAGCCTCTGCATCATGGTGTACGCTGTGTATGGGATCTTAAGGGAACTGGTGCAGCTCTACCATCAGAATTTTAGGGTGAGGAGAGAGAGAGAAAAAGAGAGAGAGAGAGAGAGGGGGGGAGGGGGGGAGAAAGAGAGAAAGAAAGAAAGAAAGAAAGAAAGAAAGAAAAGGAGACAAAGAAGAAGAGTGAGAGAAAGAAAGAGAAAGAAAGAAAGAGGATGATATCTGCGTTTCACGTGCGAAACTAAATAAACTGAAATTGACTCGCTGATCAAGTGAAGCATTTGATACTGACTAAGTGCTGACGTGCAGTAATTAACTTAATCAAATAAAGCTCTTCATCAGTAAAGGCATTCCTCCTCGAGATCACTAACCTCTTAACTATCTCCCTTACCTCCCTCCCTCCCTTACCTCCCTCCCTCCCTCCCTCCCTCCCTCCTTCCCTCCCTCCTTCCTCCCATCCCTCCCTCCCTCCTTCCCTCCACCCCCCCATATCCCCACAGTACCTAGCCTCGCCCATCAACATAGTGGAATGGACGCTCTACGCCACGTCAATAAGGATGGTTCTCCCAGTCTACCTCGAAGGACGCTGGGACGGTTCGCAAGCCATCTACGCTGCCCTGGCCCTGCTGACGGCTTGGTTCACCTTGCTCCTCTATTTCCAGAGGTATGGTGGTGGTGAGTGGTGGTGAGTAGTGGTGGTGGTGGTGGTGTGTGGTGGTGGTGATGGTGAGTGGTGGTGGTGATGGTGATGGTGGTGAGTGGTGGTGGTGATGGTGATGGTGAGTGGTGGTGGTGATGGTGGTGAGTGGTGGTGGTGGTGGTGAGTGGTGATGGTAGTGGTGATGGTGAGTGGTGGTGGTGGTGAGTGGTGGTGGTGATGGTGAGTGGTGGTGATGGTGATGGTAGTGGTGGTGGTGATGGTAGTGGTGGTGGTGATGGTGATGGTGGTGGTGGTGATGGTGAGTGGTGGTGGTGATGGTGATGGTGAGTGGTGGTGGTGGTGAGTGGTGGTGGTGATGGTGAGTGGTGGTGATGGTGATGGTAGTGGTGGTGGTGATGGTAGTGGTGGTGGTGATGGTGGTGAGTGGTGGTGGTGGTGGTGAGTGGTGATGGTAGTGGTGGTGGGGATGGTGATGGTGGTGATGGTAGTGGTGGTGGTGATGGTGATGGTGGTGGTGGTGATGGTAGTGGTGGTGGTGATGGTGATGGTAGTGGTGGTGGTGATGGTGGTGATGGTAGTGGTGGTGGTGATGGTGATGGTGGTGGTGGTGATGGTAGTGGTGGTGGTGATGGTGATGGTAGTGGTGGTGGTGATGGTGATGGTGGTGAGTGGTGGTGATGGTAGTGGGTGGTGGTGATGATGGTGATGGTACTATAATATAACCAGGTAGTTCTATTTCCATTTTAGTCTGTGCAACTCTAAGATGAAATTTCCTTTTTTTTCTCATGGGTATGCTGATGTCTCTTCATGGTGCGGAAATTTTCGTTATTATAAACATGAGAGGAATAATGGTTTTACCGCTGGTGATTTTAACAATATCGAGTAAATTATAACAAATAATTATGTATCTAGCTATATCTGATATCTCACGGCGTGCTCTCATTGGTTAAACGCGATGACGTCATAAGTTCTGCCTCTTTTTGATCTGGTCATTCTGTGCAGTAGTTTATAGTGTTTTTTGTTTTTTTCATTGCATTATTTTTATGAATCCGCAATCATAAATAGAAAAATATTTAATATTTACAATGATTAAAGGCGAGGAGCTCCGAAGTTGCCAGCTAGTGTTAAAGTACCTTGATTGTAAGGGTGATTATGGTTGTGTTGGTTACAGTGATATGGTGCTTATGAACATTGTTTGTATAGGGAACCTTGTTATATCTGAATACACTGAAGTTCATTCATATTTAAAAGTTCTTATTGATAAATACATATATATTACAGAAAGTAAATTCTAGTTGTTGTTTTTTCGCTTCATAAACCCTCGTGCAATATTCGTCTTGCAGGTTCAACAACATCGGCTTGTACGTCGCCATGTTCTTGGAGATCCTGAACACACTGCTGAAGGTGTTCTTCGTGTTCTCCGTTCTCATCGTGGCGTTCAGTCTGGCGTTTTTCATCCTTATGTCTCACGTATGTAGAGGAAATATATTCACATACACATTTACACACACACACACACACTTACATAAACATAAACGCATATTCACACACACACACACACACACACACACACACACACACACACACACACACACACACATACACACACACACACTCACACACACATCCCCCCCCCACACACACACAGGCCGAGACCCTTAACCCAACGAAACAAATCTAACCGCATGCACATATATCCTAAACGAGTCTAAAAAAAACAAAAAACAAAAAAACGAACATAACGTAACACAACTACCTCTACCCATACCCAGGGCGGCCACC